GGCAACTTCCTACCAAGACAGCAGCAGTGCCTTCCAGAACTCTCAGTCCACAGATGGTAAGGGGGTCTGACAACTGGTCAGGAGATTACAGCAATTCCTTTGCTGGCACTGGGTGCAGGACTCTGTTACATTGCCCATACATGGATCTGGGTCAGTCCTGGGTGACAGTCCAAGGGCAAGGAGGAGCACTGGCACACCAAAGCATGCTAAATGTTTTACAAAATTGTTTCATCTGAACCTCACAACAACCCTGGAAGGTAGGTGCTATTATTATTCCCAGTGACTTGCCCTGGGTCACACAGCTAATAAGTTATCTGAAGCTGGATTTGAATTCAAGTCTTCCTGACTCCAGGCTCAGCACTCTATCCACTAGCTGCCTCTAAAACTAAGAAAATGAGGAACCATATAGACATCTGGAGACTGAGGTGTGATTCTAAAAAACAAAAACAGAAACTTATTAATTTGACAGGGGAAACCTGGGGAGTTGTGACTTTTTCAGTAGGTGAGTCACTACGAGTCAGGAGGTTCTCTCTTAAGACATTAAACACTCTTCCACAAGGGCAAGAGACATTACTCAAGACAGCAGCAAGAGAGAAAGAGGACAGGAGGGTAGTTGAAAAAGCTTCTCCATTGGAGCTGCGGCATTTAGAAGCAGTCAACCAGCAGTCAGAAAGAACTGAAGTCAACAACCGAGAGCTCCAAAGACAGCTGGACTGGATCTTCACTACTCTTCAGCTGGGTCCAACTCTTCTCTACTTGACAAATAGCTTTTGTAAGCTCTTTCAATGAACATTCAAAGTCACTGCTCTTCAATGACACCTAGAGTTGGAGAGCTTCATATAAGGGTTTGTTCTATGCCACCAAACCTGGCTCGAACAAAAGTAAAAACAGAAGGCAGTTCCTGGGGAGCTGGGACTGGGTTGCTGTTACCTCTGTACTGACTGAACAGCACTGCCTCCTCGTTTGGTTTGCACAGCCCAGGGATGAGCTTTACAATTCTTTAGCTTAGGGAGAACTGCTATTCACATTAAGATATTTTCTAAATGCCCTTTGAAAGGTGATAGTTCATTGAAAGAGCTTATAAAGGCTCTGTTCAGGTAGAGAAGAGGTTTCCCCAGCTGAAGACTGGTGAGGATCAACAGTCACCCAGTGAGAAGAGCAGCAGTTTTGTGCAATGCAGATGTTCCTGAATGGACTAAAAACACTGAAGCCTGCTGGCTAAAGTTGTAAACTACCCCAAGCACACGAGTTTTCCTTCCTCTTGTTTCCTTGCCAGGTTCCTATAAGCATGTGACCACTCTTCACTGTAGCTTTTTAGTGCATTGATGGGAAAGGGTGACCTGGTGTTACATGTTTTTTTTTGTTAGATGTCTTGTGATATAGTTATATTATTTACACATTTGCATATATATGTACACACGCAAAATAATTTATTTTGCCTTACTAAATATTACAAGAGGCTGGTCACATAAATAACACACTATGTGAATTTCAACAGCTTACTGATAGGTCTGCCTGCCTCAAGTCTCTCCCCACTCTACTCTATATTCCCTTCAGCCACCCAAGTGGTTTTTCCCTAAATCACAGGTCCAACCATGTCACGTCCCTATTCAATAAGCTCCAGGGGCTTCCTATTACCTTGAGGATCAAATCCAAAATCCTATTTGGCATTCAAAGCCCTTCGTAACCTACTCCCCTACCACCTTTCCAGTCTTCTGACACTTCATTCCCCACCAAGTACTCTTTGACATACTAACATTGGCCTCCTTGGTGATCCATGAACCAGACACTCCATCTCTTGGTTCTAGACATTTTCTCTGACAGTCTCTCATGCCTGTAATATTCCCCCTCCTCATTTTTGCCTTCTGATTTCCCGGCTTTCTTCAAGTCTCAACTAAACTTTGTACAAGAAATCTTTCCCAATCTCTGTTAATTCCAGTGGCTTTCTTTTGTTAATTATTAATTTCCTATTTATCCTGTATAAAGTTCATGTACACATATTTGTTTGCTTGTGGACTCCCCATTGGATTGTGACCTCCTTGAGGTCGGGGACTATCTTTTGCCTCTTTTTCTACCATCAGTGATTAACACAGAGCCTGGCACATGGTAGGCACTTAATACTTAGTGACTGACTTAATGCGTTGTCTTATGAATAGCTGATTGTGTAGATAGAAAACATTGGGCAAGGGTTCAAAAGCTAGAGTGATGAGTAGGGCATGTATATTTCCTCTCAACAGGGTTACCCCCAAGACACTGAATTTGAATGTTAACTAAGTGGTGGTGGTCTATCTCTCAGAACTTAAAACTGCTAGTGTAAGAGCCAAATCCATTAGAAGGGTGTGGATGTTTATACCCCACTTTACATACCCCACCAGATGCCATTTGGACCACATATGAGGTATTACATAAATTTGGTATGACCATAAGTAGAAACTGCAAGACTTAGGTAGTATTAGGGAAAATGTACCCCTTGCTAGTGCAGCAGGAGAATGTTTATACTACTGCTCTATCTTTTCAGGAAATTTCCTCTGTAAAAGCTAACTGATGGTAATTAGCTAAAAGAAAATGTGGTGCTAATCACTGGTGGCTAACAGTGGTGGACCACATTGGAAATGGGGGTTCCAGCTAAAAACATTAGAAAAGAGACAAAGCTAACTCCTCAGGGTTATCCCTGGAACTCTAAGAGGGAGATGCAGTCAGCCTCAAGCTGGGAGTGAGACATCCCATGACACCTTAGCAACTAGAGAAGCTTTCTGGTTCCTATGCATATTGGACAAAATGGTCAATCACCTCCAGAATGTTAGTCGTATTTTTCTTTCTCCTTCCAAAGACAACAAAGTATATATACAAGCTCCTAAGTTATTCCTCCTTCTTTTACTTTTTTTCTTTTGAATGGGCATTATTTTACCTGTGATCAAATGAAATAATGCCTGTAAAGCACTTTTCAACCTTTAAAATGTGCCATATAAATGCTATCATTTTCACATGATAACCATGAAATCAAATTGACTTCCTTGAGTTAAGACATCTAGGTCACCTTGCATCTTACCCCATCTTGTGCATTTGTGTAGTTACATGAGCTCATGTATTTTATTGTTGGTTCCTTCCTTGGATTTTGTCTCCTGTGAATTCCTGAGCGGCTTTACTGCTATTCTTCTTCCATTGTAGCCACTCACTACAGTATCTAGGCAGTTTTCTCCCGTTCCTTTTTAGTTTAAAACCTTTTCAACTAGGTTTGCAAGATTCTATCCAATTACACTTTAAGCAGTGCTTGTTAAATATACTTCAACCACATGCAAAATGTTATTTATAAATTTTAAGTCATGTTCCAAAATCCAAATCTTGTCGCAAATACCATTTTCTTAACAAGATATTCATTTTCCAAATATGCCTGTATATTCTGAAATCCTTGCCTTTGATTGGCAGTGGTGATGAAAACATCCATTATGGCCCCATAGCCCTCAGTCTATGGCCTAAGACTTCATAATCTTTAGCAATGCTTTCTAGATTCCTTTTGGAAGCATCATGTGTGGCCACAGGAGTCACCCTAAGCAGGTAGTAGTCATGGATTTAACAAGCTGGGGGAACTTCCTCAGGAAGACAGCAGACCTTTCCATTGCTTCTGCAAGGAAGAAAAATATAGCTGACTTGGTGAATCACCATGGCTCATCTATTCTTCCTCCACCAATGTACAACTCTTACCAAATGGCATCAACTGATGCATACCATCATTCAACAAAAAGCTGCTTCCTTCTACGTTAGTTCAGTGAAATTCAACCCAACAAGCATGTTGTAGTAGTAGTACTAGTAGTAGAAGCAGCAGCATCTAAGTTTAGTTCTACCACTGAATCACAAGCCAGAAGGCACTTTTACCCCCAAGTAACACTCCTCAACCACCCCACCTCCCCCCTCCTATGCCACAAGCCCCTTACTTTACAGATGAAACGAAAGCCCATAGAAGGGCCTCGCCCAGACACACAGGATAGTATTTAAGGACGAGATTCAAACCTCTGACTCTAATCTCCCTTACACAAAGCTGTCGTCTCCCAGGTCATGGGTCAGCAACCTCTAGAAGTGGTCAAGTGGAGGCTGATAGCCACTTGGAGAAACTATAGAGAAAATTCTGACTTCAAATGAGGTAGCAAGATGACTCAGTTGATACAGCGCTGGGCCTTGGGGTCAGGAAGACTCTAGGTCAAATCTGGTTTCAGACATTTACTGTGTGACTCTGAGGACTTAACCTCTGTTTGCCTTAATTCACTAGAGAAGGAAATGACACACCATTCCAGTATCTTTGCCAAGAAAAGCCCTGTTTTGTCTACAGGGTCATGAAGAATGGAGCATGACTGAACAACACAACATGGTTGACCCCTGAGGCCCCTTCCACTCAAAAGAGGTTTCATAAGGTTCTCGAACTTGCAGTCCCATCCCCATCTCGTCCAGTCTATGTGGGCCCTTTCTTGTCTCCAAGTCCCAGGCTGACCAGCAGCATTCTCTAGCACACTGCCGCAGGCTTCTTTTGCTCTAGGGTTTTCCTCCAAGGTCACATGCTGCCCATGTAGCCTGGTACTTGTACCCGGGTACAAGTACCCCTTGTCCCAGTCCCTTCACAAGCCAGTTAATCTTTGTACCATCGTGTTATGAAGTGAAAAGACCACTACACTAGAGGGTTAGGAAACTGAGGGTCTAGGCTCAGCTCAGCCACCGGCTCATGGTGTGACTGACTGTGGGCAAGTCAAGTCACTTCCCTTGTTCTGACCTGTTTTTTCACGTGACATTCAAGGTCCCTTCTCTGATACTGTACAAAAAGATTATTAATATTTCCCAGGAGAGCCTTTGGGGCCAGGAAGCCATTTGCACTGGCTCCCCCAACAAAGAGATGAGGCTTGGTGGTCCCGGGGCTAGAAAGCGGTCCCTAAGGAAAAAGACATCAGGCTTCTCATTTAGTGGTAAGAATCAAGAGATCTACTCGTAAGACAAAAAGAACCACAGTCATAGGATTTTCAGAAATGTAGTCCGCTCATGTTAGGGACCAATTTGACACACACCCATCAAGGTCACAGGAACCTCTGAGTCAAGGGGGGTTGAAACCATTGCTGTCAAGATAAGGGACCTTTTCTCTTCCTTGGCGCTTCTGGCTTCTGACTTCTGAGCCTGACTGGTCTTCCGGGGGCCTCTGCTGCCTGGAACACATGGATTACCTGGTGAGATGGGGCAAAGTAATGACATACTAACAGAGAGAACAGCTGGAGAGCTAGCAGCAACAGCAGCAGTGGTGATGGCAGCAGGGATAGCAGCAGTAGCAGGTTTAGGTAGAAAAAGCCAAGGATTTGAAAACTGAGTACTATTACTTAATGCCTGGATGGCCAAGGGCGAGTTATTTCGCTTCTTGAACTAAATTTCCTCCTCTGTAAAACAAGGATAATTCTAACAGTGTTGGTGTAAGGAAATTTCGTGCCACAGGAACGTGGAGATCATCAAGCCTCATCTCTACTCTTCATCAGCTCTAAATTCCATGATCCTAAGTCATGGTATAGTAGGAGTCCACACCTGGAGCATCAGGGGAGAGACTCCAGACCCAATCCTGGCTCTGCCTCTTCCTGTGTGCCCTGGGGTCTCTTCTTCCTCAAGGCTCTCGCCTATAAAGTGACAGGGCTGGATGACATGATCTCAGAGGTCCCTTCCAGCTCTCCCACTCCATGGCCTAAGAACCCAGGTCTGACATACCACGTTCTATGTATCTACACTCTGTGGGCCCTCCCACCCTGACACTTTACATTCCAAGAGCCCTATGACTAGATTTGATGTCCATGTGGGGAGCTTTATGGATAGGTTAGAAAAGTGAGGTTTCTATCTGGAAACAGAAGGCAGCAAGATTAGCCCCAGAGCAGCAGGATGCATCATCCCCTCACTGACCTGGGAAGGTAGAGAAAGATTTGCCTTATCCAAAAATCAGGCCAAGGAAGGAGGCTTCAGGTCAGAAGGGCTGTAACAAAACATGACCATCACACAGGCCAAAGAACAAACCAACCCAACAAAGCTTAATCTCTTCTCCTCCCCTCCCAAGAAGGAATCAGGAAGCAGCCAAGTCCAAATTCAAAGCTGCTACGAGAGCCCTGCATGCCAGGACTTTCAGGAGGTACATAAATATGTGTACACATTGACTCATCTGTGACTTCAGCAGAAACACAGATATATACTGTCCAACTCTGGGCCAGGCACTTGTCCTATGCCTCAGTTTCTCCATTTGTAAAATGAAGGGGTTTAATGGGATGATGTATAATGTGCTCTCTCCACTGACATTCTGTGATTCTGTGACTATCACTCTCTCTCTCTCTGCAAGAACCAACTTGGGAAATTGTGGCCCACAGGCTGGGCCTTTACCAAGTTAGGTTAGGGCAGCGCTAGAACTAGAACCCAGGACTTCCTGACTCCCACCATTCTTTCCACTACAACAATCCTAAGAGTCAGGAATCTTAGTTGGAAAAGGAGGGGGTAAGTCTAAATCCTGTAAAAATCAACAAATTGAAGCAATCTAGGCAAGACAGAATTAAGCACTCTGAATCAAAACCAGGCTTGTAATTTTGTCAGCAGATACTTTTTATTTGATCCCTTCAAAGTGGCCTTCCCAGAAGGAATAGGAAGGAACCGATAGCAGCCTTAGTATTTTAGCAACCTGTGTCAAGAGGCAGCAGCAAATAGGGGACTCTGCCACTTAGGAATGGGGGGAGGGGGGCCAGTGGGGAAGTATTTCACAATGCCTCCTAGAACCACCAATCCAGAAAAGGCTCCCAGAAGCATCAAAAAAAGGAGGCTTTTTTCAAATTAGCTAGCAGAATAAAAAACAAAAAGGCAGGGGGGGGAGCGCGGCGGGGCGGGCTACATATTAGCCAAAAATATTCTTCCAGATGTATGAAAATAAGTTACTTTCATTTCAACATCCGAAAACTCTACCTGTATTCTTGCCCAACAAAGAAAAGTCACATGAAGACTAACACAAGCAATGGGAGGTTTTCTGCATTGCTCTGGGCAGCACTGGTCTTAATTCAACTAGATTACGGGTTCATGCTCTCTTGCCTATGATATCCCTGGTGGGCAGTGGATCTTTAAATAAGAGCTAGTGGTTTACGACGTCCACTCTCAGGAGCTACCTTCGACCCTGAGAAGAATTCAGCTGGTCCTTGATGCTGATGGCCTGCTTCAGTAAGCCCTCGATGCTTCGGAAATGAATGTTGCTATCCATCAAGTTCTTCACAGCACTGAAATACAGGGAGGGATGGAAAGAACAAGAAAGGCAGTTACCAGGGTCTGTCCATCCCACAACCATCAATGCAACGTGTGGGATGGGTATGGTGGAAAGCACATCAGTGCTTGGCAAAGGGCTCTAAGGCTGCTCTCAGCTTATGGGAGGATCCATCCATGTGGCTGGAGGACGGGCTCACTGGTGTATTAGGGATGAATGCAGGACTTGGGGCTTTCTCTTCTAGAATGCCCTCCCCCATACTCCCCTTCACCCCAAACTGTGTCCCTCCCCTAATCCCCTTAAACTGGCCTGGAGCACTGGCTCTCTTTTGCCCCTGCTTTGTATAATACTTATCTGTAGAATATAAGCTCCTTGAGAGAAGGAACTAGGTTACTTTTTAAATCTTTGTAGTCCCAGCACCTAACACAGTGACTTGCACATAAAAAGTATTTGAACTAAAGAAATGTGAGTTGCTAAAATTATGTTCAGCCCAATTCTGGGGCAGGGATACAGTAACTGTTTATTGACTTGAACTGAAAGCCAGACTCCACCTCCAATATCTGGAGCAGGACATGAAGAAGAATGAATCATCACATGGAATGTACACTGAACCTCTGGGGCCATACACAGAAGGCATCCCTTCTAGGGGGAACAATTATCCTTTCCTGTTCAGTGCTGGGATCAAATTCTGTTTGCAAATGTAGAAAGAAAAGTTAACATTAGGTTCCCGAGTTTACCTGCAGGCATACTCCACTGTATATATGGCTCCCTGGCTCTGTTCCTCCCAGTTCTGCATGTCAGACTGAAAAGAAATGCTGGAGGTTATTCAATGAAAGTCTTTTTTTCTTCTTTTTTTTTCCAGAGGGAGTAGGGGGGGAGAAGGGGTTGATCAAAATTTACATTTTTGGACAGAACAAATACTATGCTGTAGTGGAAAGAGAATTGGCCTGATTACCTGAGACCAGTTTTAGCTCCACTGCTCTCTTGTTGAACTACTGGACCACAGTCCTTCAGTGTGACTAGACAGGTGATGTCTACTCTGTGGCCCATTCCATAACTGGTTCATGACAAGGCACATAAAGTTTGCCTAGACCTGGATCTTTCCCTTAAGAGCAATGGGAGGACGACAGACTGAAGGGCTAAATTACTTTGCTGTGGTTGACCTAATATTGGGAATAACTCACTTTGACCTTGGTGATTAGATTATTCTAAGAAGCCCCCCCACCCATTCCGATCTTCCCTCAACCAATTACAAACCTCAGGAAGTACAAATTTGCTACAAGAACATACACTATTTTTTGAGAGTCCATATGAACTGAGAGGAGCTGGAAAGCTAAAGTTTACCATAGCAAGGGTCTTATTTTTGCCTAGTTAAAACAAAGACGTGCTTTCCCAGGGATGACTTTAAATGTCATCTGTTTTGAAAGTTTAAAAATATATACCCTTGCTTTCTACCACCAATATCTTTTTCTGTGTCTTAAAGCTTTCAGGTATATAATTACAAAGGAGCAGCTGTACATGAAACATCTTATCTTTTAAAGCACTCATCCACCCCTCTGAAAGAATTATTTCCACTTAGGTCCTACTCTAATGACACTTAGAATCTGAAAAGATTTGGGTTCAAATACCACCTCTGACATGTATATACTATACGATTATAAGCAAATCACTTAAGATCTCTGAACCTCAGCTTCCTCACTTAACAGCCTCAGAGCTAATACTTATGACACCTAACTCATAGGGTGATTTCAAGGATCCAATCAGATGGTATTTTTTAATCCTTAAAACACTATTGAAATATCTGTTGTTGTTATTATTCACTGTGACACAGGAATGCCCCAGGTTGTTGGGAAGGCATAAAATCTGACAAGTCCTCCCAAGATGAAGCCATTCTTAGCTCATCTTATATGAAGTCAAAGAGGAGCAACAATCCAATGCTGGTGGAGGGAAGAGCCACATACATGAAATCCTTGAAGCAACCATTTACATCACTACAGCATTTTAAGGTTTCCAAAGTACTCGCGTGACAAACACTCAAGTGAAGGAAATGGGTATAGCTTATGCTCTCAAGCTAGCTAATGATTGATAGTTAGTATACTAATGATAATATGAAAAGTCCTTGTTAATTTCCTAAGACCAACTCCAGCTACCAAGGGCAGTCAAGGGCAGCTGGGCTAACAACACACCTGGAGAGCCACACTGTAAATCCTGATCATCGTTTCTAAGTTAGAGACAGACGCTTTGAAATATTCATTTTCGAATTAAAACCAGACTGATGACAGCAGAGAGAGCTTTGACTTCCCTGACATCATTCTTGGCTTGCAAGGAGGGAGAGTCAACAAAAACAAGAACAAGTAAGCAACTTGCTTTATCACCGTGAGGAAGTTACTTCCCTTCTTTGGGGCTCAGTTTCCTCAACTACATTTTTAGAGAAGGTTGAACTAGATGACTTTCAAGATGCTCTAAGTCTCCGGGTCTGAAAGCCTACTTATCTTTAAGACCTTCTTCTAGACCAGATCAAATAGCAGCTCCTCCAGGGAGTTTTCTCAGACCTGTTCAGCTAGAAGTGACTTACCCTTCCTCAAAAACTCCCAGAAGCCCACAAATCTCTTAGGGCAGGGCTTTTTATATTTGTTTCACTCTCAACCCATACGGGATCGAGACCCACAGTTTAAGTAATGCTGTCTTAGGGGATTTAATCTATCCTTCCTTATGTTAAGGTATGCCTAGATTTCAGATAACTACCTTTATTTACAGCATCCCCTGACCCTACTAGTCTGACAAACCTAAAAAGAAAACAATCTGGTACAGTGATTTGTTCTAATACTCTAAATTCTCAAAGATTCCCTCTAGCTCTATATAATAGAACAAACACTGGTCTTTGGAGCCAGGATTTGAATTCAGGTTTCTCTTGACCCCAATTTCTTTCTTTATTTTTTTAGTTAGGCAATGGGGTTAAGTGACTTGCCCAGGTTCACACAGCTGGTAAGTGTTATGTGTCTGAGGCTGGATTTGAACTCAGGTCCTCTTGAATCCAGGGCCGGTGCTCTATCCACTGATCCCAATTTCTAAAAGGAATCTTTAAGAGTTATTGAATTCAACCCTTTTAGTCTGATAGGTAAGTAAACTGAGGACCAGAAAGGTTAAATAACAGCGTCTCAGAGTTAGAAGGAAGTAAAGTGACAAATTAACCCACCCTTTCTCTCTCTCTTTCCCTCACCAATTTTGTCTTTCTCTCTCCTTCCTTCCCTGTCTTTTTCCCTTGCCCCCATGCTCTTTCTCATGTTCTCCTCTCTCCCTCCCTGTTTCCCTTCTTCCTTGTCTTCCTCTCTCTTCCTGCCCCCCTCCCCTGTCTGTCTCTGTCTCTCCCTGTTTCCAGATTATTTCAACAGCCTAATTGGTCCCCTTGCCCAGGGGTTTGCAAACTACTAGGCAAAATTCAACTGGATTCCTGTTTTTGTACGCCCAGTGAGCTAAGAAAGATCTCTACATTTTCAAACGGTTTAAAAAAAATAAAAAGGATACTTTGTGAACATGAAAATTATACAAAATTCTAATTCCAGCGTCCATGAATGCAATTTTCTTTTTTTTATTTATACTTTTTATTAATTTATTTTGATTTATCAACAATCACTTCCATATGCTTTTGAGTTTAAAATTTTTCTTCCCCTTCCTCCCCAAGATGGCGCACAATCTGATATAGGCTATATATATATATATATACACATTCTTATTAAACATATTTTCAGATTAGTGATGTTGTAAGTAAAAATTAGAACCAACAGGAGGAACCACCAAAAAGAGGAAACAAAACTCAACAGAAGAGGAAAAAAAATAGCAAATAGTATGCTTTGATCTGCATTCAAATTCCATAGTTCTTTCTTTGGATGTGGATAGCATTTTACATCATGAGACCTTTGGAGATGTCTTAGATCTTTGTAATGCTGGGAAGGGTTAAGTTTATCAATATTAGTCATCACACAATGTGACTGTTATTGTGTACAACGTTCTCTTGGTTCTGCTCACTTCACTCAGCATCAGACCATACAAGTCTTTCCAGGTTTTTCTGAAGTCTGCCTGTTCATCATATCTTATAGCACAATAGTATTCCATTACATTCATATACCACAACTTGTTCAGCCATTTCCCAATTTATGGGCATGAATGCAATTTTCCTGGCACAAAGCCACCCTGGCTAATTTGTGTATTGTCTGTGTCAGCTTTCACACTACAACAACAGAGCCGAACATTTGGGAAAGGGACCACATGTCACTGTCACTGCCTTGCCCCACCACCGAATTACACATCATAGGAATAAGGTTATATCTCAACAGGGTTTCAAATGCCCCACATATTGTTGAAATGGGACATTAAAAAAAACTACCAGTGCAAAGATACTAGAGTGGTTCACCATTTCCTTCTACAGCTCATTTTACAGATGAGGAAACTGAGGCAAACAGGGTTAAGTGACTTGCTCAGGGTCACACAGCTAGTAAATGTCTGAGATCAGAATTAACTCAGGGAAATGAGTTCTCCTGACTCCAGGCCCGGTACTCTATCCACTGCACTGTCTAGCTGCTTCTAGCTTTTGCTACAGACTTGATAACTTTTCTTGATGAATCCAACCTGAAATTACTAGGCAGAACAGTGCTTCTGTGCAAAACTTAAACTGCAGTAAAGTCAATTCTATGACAACTAACATTTTGAACCACAAGTTATGTCAAGCTGCTTTATCCATTTCCTGGGCTGTCAATGTTTAAAACAAGAAGGGGAATCTCCACTCCCACACAAATTGGCAGTGAATGGATTTTCTGAGCTCAATGATTCCAGCAGCATTTTGCAGACCTTGATGCTAATGCAAAAATAATTTCCATATTTCAAAATCCATTTAACCGAAATTGAGGAGCCTCTACCCTTCAAATAACAGTGATTAATCTGCAATATAATGAACTGCTAAATGGCTAATTGAATTCTAGAAATGCCTTCCAGGTGACGAATATGCTCAAATAAAATCACCTGCTCATGGACTGATGTCAGTATTGGCAGTAACTATCTGTATGAAAGGGCATTTTCAAAGTTGAAACACGTAAAATCTCATTACAAACCAGCATTAACAGATGAACATTTATAATTTTGATGAAAGAGAACACCAACTCTGAACCCAAATGAAGTAAATGTTATTCCCCAACCCCACGGCCCTCCCCCTAGGAAGTAGTCTATTCTTTTCATTAGTAGACCTGGACTAAAAAAAACTGCACTCAATCGCTATATTTCATCACTTAAAATTGTGTTTTCTCTTATTATTACTTACATAACATCTTTGATTTTGCCTCTTGGCCCCAAAAGCCTAAAATACTGACTATCTGGCCCTTTACAGAAAACATCTGCTGACCCCCTGTCTTGGCTTCAAGTTTCTCCCCCTTGTCCATCCTATGGGATGCTGCCAAAGCCACATGGAACTTGACTTCACGTCTCTCTACTCATCCTTAGCTGTTTCAACAGATCCTCACCTGGGATGATGTCACATGTTGGTCCCCCCTCCATCAGACTTCCTATTCTCCAGATACGGTCTACCCAAGACAGGTCACAGCATGACATGAAAACCCTCTTCTTTCTGAACACTTGAAGAGTAGCCTAATAGTATGTAAGGTTTTTAGGATTGCTACTTACTGTTACTGAAGCTCATTTTATATTCACTGTTTATCTCCCTCTCTACCATCTCCACTCTTTACTCAGAGGATCAGAGATTTGAGTTGGGTCTTTGCGATCACTGAGTCTAAGTCCATTTTAGAGAGGAAACTGAATGAGGCAGAATCAGAATTTGCCCAAGTCCTCTTTCTACAAATACTATCTTGGTCCCACTGTACCACACCACCTCTTTTATATGGGTGATCATCAGTGAAAGGTTCAGATAATGATCCTCTCCTAACATCTTCTATCACACAGGGTGAGACTTTCTATTTATCACACCAATCCAAGAAGGGGCCTTCTGAGGATGTACTTAGTGGTACCTAGTGACCAAAGATCGGCTGGCCCTTCCCTTCCACCACAGTTAAGCTTCCGCACAGTTTTCTTCTAATTTTAATCACTAGGGACATTAGTATTTACACAATCACCAAAGGTCCCAAGGTTCATGTCTGCTTCCAATCATGCAGAGGATTCTCTTCAACCATCCTAAAGCCCTCTGCACCATGACAGAACCATTCATCATAAACCAGGGATGACAAACTGAGAGGAGGAAGAGGGAGTTGGGGTATCGAGACCCCTGCATTAAGGTATTCTGCTGAGCAGGGACTTTGGCTACTTAAAATGCCCGTCAATTATGCAGAGGCTACTTTTTTCATGCAAACAAATCACCTGAATACCTGAAATAGTCATCTTGGGACTTAGAAATACATAGACATTTTACAGAGGAGTTTGCCAGTTATAAAATCTGTCAAATAAAGAAGATACCCAAGATTCTTTCTAGTGCAAAAGCTCTCCACCTTTTCAACTATTGTGTGCCCTTTGGCAGTCTGGCAAAACTGAAGGATTCTTCAGATTAATGTTCTTAAATCCATAAAATATGAGGTTACAGAAAAACCTGGGAAGACTTAGATGAGCTGATGCAAAGTAAAATGAGCAGAACCAGAAGAACACTGTTGACAGTAACAGCAGTGTTGTAATGATCAGCTGGGGAAGACGTAGCTACTCTGATCAATACAATGATCCAATATAATTCCAAAGGACTCATAATGAAAAATGCTATTCTCCTCTAGAAAGAGAAATGATGGAGTCTGAATGCAGAATGAAGGCTCCTTTTTTTAAACTTTCTTGTAGGTTGAAGTGTATTTTTTTTCATTTTATTTTTCTTGGTTATCACACCCCCTCTACACAATATGGCTAATGTGGAAATATATTTTGCATGATTTCATATGCATAACAAGAATTGTATTTCACTGGGTGGGGGAGGGGTGAAAGGATTTGGATTTTTTTGGAACTGAATTTGGAATCTGGAACTGAAAATTTTCAAAATTCACAAATGGAACCAATCATACATGAAATAGTTATCAAAATGGCTGGGGAGAGGGGTTCATGAACCTGAGAACCCCTGCTCTAGAGGGAAGTAAACAGAGAAAAGAACACTGGTCCTAGCTTCAGCACAGAATGGAGTTTAAATCCCAACTCTGACACAAGCTGTGTGACCTTAGGTAAATAATTCTCTATGCCTCAGTTTCCTCATCTATAAAATAGTGACAATACTCTACAGTATCTGCAGAGTGTCCTGAGGATCACGTGAGAATGTATATGAAGCACTTTGTAAACTTGAAAGAGCCACATTAATATCAGCTCTCACCACTCAGGATTCCGTGCTGGCATTCTGTGTGCCATATCTTAAGGGCCCTTCAAGCACCAACATTCTTTGATTCCATAAGACTAGCATGTGTTTACACTAATGGGACCCCTGAGAAAGGATTAAAAACAACAAAGAGACTCCAAAATGTAGGGGCAATGAGGAAAAAAAGCACGTTCGAAAATGAATTACTTTTTGTATTTATACAGAGAAATAAATTCTCAAGCAGAGGAGTAAGTAACAAGGTGCAATCTTCACTGAACTTGTATCTAGGTAAAACCCCATGAGCCCAATCCTGCTCACAAACTTTAAAAACATTTATACTTTCCAAGATTTATGTTTTATGTAGATGTCAGATATCTCAGCAGCTGTAGCCCTGGCCCATGGGACAGAAATGCATGAGCATTTCAATCACATCAGTCTTATGGGTTTACTATTAAAGCCTGATTTGTGAGGACAGCCAGGTGTTCACATCTGGAATAGCAGATAGATTTATTTTATGTTAATAGTAACTTGGAGCTCTCTTACTTATTATCACTAAAGCTGTTGCCAGGCAATTTAACATGTATTAAGCAGTGTGCCTGGCACTGTGCTAAGCTCACAAAGAAAGGTAAAAGCCAGGCCCTGCTTCTCAAGGAGCTTGTAGTCCAGGAATGGGGCACCTACCTTTGGCCCTGAGGCCACATGTGGTCTTCCAGGTCCTTGGGTGCAGCCTTTTGACCAAGTCCAAGTTTTACAGAATAAATTCTTTTATTAAGGATATTTGTTCTGTGAAGTTTGGATTCAGTCAAAGGGCCATGCTTGAGGACCTAGAGGGCCACATGTGGCCTCAAGGCCGAAGGTTCCCCACCCCTGTGTAGTCTAATGGGGGAGACAACATGCAGATGACTGTCTAAACAGCAGGTAACTCTTTCCAAAGGTGTTCAAAACCACTTGGACCTTCCTGACCCAAGGTTCCTATGCTGACCAACATGACTGACAGGCCTCTTAACCAATCTCCCTTCTTTGAGTCCATCCTTCACCCCAATGGCCAGTGATTTACCCTAACACACACTCCTGACCATGTCAGTCTCCTACTTACAATATCCTGAAGTGGCTCTCTCCTGTGCCTATGGGACAAAATACAAACTTCCCCACTCAACATGTGGGATCCTCTGGGAGCTGGTGCCAACCTAACTTTCCAGCCCTTTCATTTTTCTCTCTCCATTCTGTCCTCTAAGAATTGAACCACACTACTTTGCTGACTCTTCTCCCAACACTGCCAAAGCCTAGAATTCCTCCTTCCTCATCTCAGCTAAAATGTCACTCACTCTTCAAAACCCAACTCAAATGCTACCTCTTCCATGAAGCCTTCCTTCCCTGGTCAGAAACAATTTTCCCTCCTTGGAATTTCCACAGCATACTTTGTAATGCTTCTGTACTTAAATACCCTATAAAATGGAACATGCTATTTTTGTATTCAAGTTCCATAAAGGAGGCAGGTAGGGTATTATCCAGGTTTTCATCAGTTCCAGAAGCAAGCAGAGTCAGTTCACAGGGTTAACAGTGACTGACATTGATATAAGCACTTTCAAGGTTTCCAAAGCATTTGTAGAAAGGATTATCTTGATTTTTAGAAAAACAGAATGGAAGAGAAGTAAGCTGACTTGCCCAGCGGGAAGCTGAAGTTTTAGAAATTGACCTGAGGCCTAACTTTCCACAGGTATTGCTCTTTCCCCTACAGCACATAGCACAGAAACTCAGAACTATAGGGGACCTTCGAAATCATCTTCACAGAGATGGGGGTGATGGGTATGAACAACTGACAGACTCAACTGAGGTGTTTAATTTAGCTAAACTACATTCTCTACCCCTCCTTTTTTATTATTATAAGTACTGGTTCTTTGAGGAGGGGAAAAGGGAGAGATATTTTGGGAAGCCTCGGCAATGTAAATAGAGGATATCAATTTAAAAAACTTAAGTCATGTAGTTCAAACCCTACTTGAAATACGAATCCCTCTACAACACCCCCTCCCTTGCTGTTTAAACAATTCCAGTGATGGGGGGATCAGTATTTCAAAACAACAGCACATAACACTGAGGGACACTTTTGATTACTAAATTGCTCCTGAAACTGAAATCTGCCTCCCTATATCCTCTACTCAGTGGTTCTAGTTATATCCTCTGAAGCCCCATAGAGTAAGTATCCCTTCCTATTACAACCTTTTCAATACTTTGATGACAGTGATTATGTCCCCGCACCCCCCCCCCAAATCTTTTCAAAGCTAAAATGTCTCTAGTTCCACTGAACCCAAGCTGACAAACACGACTGACTCTCAAGCTTAAGAGAAAATGCTCTTTTTTTTTTTAGGGGGGGGCTAGGCAATGGGGTTAAGCGACTTGACCATGGTCATACAAGCTAGTAATTATCAAGTGTCTGAGACCAGATTTGGACTCAGGTCCTCCTGAATCCAGGGCTGGCACTCTATCCATGAAAGTGCTGTTTCAGACAAGGACTGTGCCAGCCATTGGCTCTAAGCTTACCTTATGTTGGGCTAACTCCGGCAGGGAGCGCCTCACATGTTCCTGTAGGCGATACAGTGCCACAGATGGCTCGTTGGCCAGGACGTAAACACTCTCTGTGAATTTATCTGTAACTGAACCCAAGACCAGTGACCATGGTTAAGACACAGTCCATATGGAGAAAGATCCCAGAATAATGAAAATTACCTCTCCCCTCCCCCCAACTCTTATACTTTCCCAAACATATCAACCATCCACCCAAGACCAGCTCTAGAGCAGACAAGTTACTAGAATTCTAGAAGTTAAGGGCTATAGCAGCAACTTATGCATCCTCGAAAGAGGAAAATATCTGAACCTTCCCTCAACAATACAGACTAAAAAAAAATTAAAAAAATAAATAAAAATAAAAAAATACAGACTAAAAATAACTGACCCCTAAAGTATATATTTTTTGTTCAAATTGATCCCTTGGCATATAAAAGATCTGGCCTTGTTCACTTAGGTGTTGCATTACAATTGGCCAGAATAGCTCAACCCAGTCCTGAACATAAACATTCTGGCCATATTATATTTCAGAAGCCTAAAAAATGCAAAACAAATGAACAAAAAACCCAGGATCTCAGAGGGCCAGGAGGGAGCTACTGTCTTCTGAGAAGACATACCCATCTGAGGAGCTGACAACCTAGGCATTTGTTAATTCCTATTAAGCCCTACCAACCCCATCTTTCTAAATAAACATTAGGACTCTGAATCCCTTTGGGTTTTTGATTGAAAAAAGAGAAAAGGAAATGTTTGTGGATGGGCACTGATGTCAAAATGGAAAATTGGGAAGAAATAAATAAATGTCTCAGAGGACAGAGATAAGGTGAACAGGGGTTGGATTTGAAGTTAGGAAGACCCCCCCCCCAGTTCAAATTTGGACACTTAGTAGCTATGTGACTCTAGGCTAGTCACTTCACCTCTGTCTGCCAGTTACCTCAACTGTAAAATGGGAATCATAACATCTTCCTCAAACAGTTGTTCTGAAGGTCAAGCCAGATAAAACTGTTAATGCCTGGCACACAGCAGAAGCTTAATAAATGTTTATTCCATTCCTACTGCAAATAAGCTTCCCTCCCCCCCTTTTTTTTTCTTGGTAGAGGGAATGTCTTCAAAGAAAAATCTGGTTTGGGACAGTTGGAGTTGCAAATATCTAAGGGGCATAAAACCATAGATTTTGTGCGGAAAAGGGACCTTAAACACCTATTGGACTAGATAGGTATTGGATCTGGACTAGATAGACTTCTCATTTCTACATATGAAGACAAGTCTAATTTGAGGAGGAGGCTGTTAGAAGAGTAAAAAGAACTAGTAACTGGAGTCGGGTAGAGAGGAGCAACTGGGTTTATAAGGCAATTCCACCACTGCTCTGACACAACTTAGGTTAATCAATCTCCTTCCTGTCTCTGGGTCTCAGTTTCTCTATCTGTAAAATGAGTGCATTGAGCTAGGTGATCTCTAAGGTCCCTTCTAGCACCGACAACCCAGAGGGGAAAAAATGGGGCCGTGAACTGGGAGACAATGGGAGAAGGGGTGAAGGACTCTCTTTGGCCCGGATCCTCCGGAACACGGAGGAGTCTCAGAGCCTTCCAGGATCTGGCATCACAAGGGCCCGAGAGTGCTGGGGTTCTCCACCTTGCTAGTGTCTGGACCCCTTTGGCCGCCGGCCTGAGGAAGCCCATGGGCTCCTCAGAGAAACGTTTTTAAATGCATAACAAAATGTGTAAGGAAGTCAAAGGTTAGCTAAAGTAAGGATGCATTTTGTCCCCATACTAGTTTACGGATTCCCTGAAGTCTATGGACTGCAGGTGAGGACCCCGCATCGTTCAAGTAGGCACCCTCAGACCCAGAGAGGGGGAGACACTTGCCCAGGGTCACACAGCTGCGTCTCCAGACTGCTCCGATTTTTCACCTCCTCCTCCTCCCTCCCCGGCCCCCAGTCCCCGCCCCGCCGCCACCTTTCTTCCCCTTGAGCTGCATCTCCGCCTCCTCCATGGCGCCTCCGCGGAGCCGGCGGTTTGTGGCAGTTAGTGGCGGTTGGTGGCGACGGGAAGTCTCGGGGGGCCGGGGATAAGTGCAGCTCCTCGACCGTCCCGGCAGAACCTCATAGCCGCGCCGCTCCAGTTCCGCTTCCGGTCTGGCTCCCTTCCCCACCCCGCCCTCCTCCCCGCCCCTTTTGCCCCAACCCTAGGCTGTGACTTCGGCCCGGGACTGGGTGTGAGACAGAAGGGACTCCCTTCTTGGCCTTGCGTGGGACGGACACTCCCCGAGGGGCTCAACTGGGAGAGTGGAGGCCTGGGCTGGGGGGAAGGGAGAGAGGCTCTATAGACCCACCTCGGACCTCGTGGACCGTCTCCCAGTTCACCCCCACAGTGCCCACGGGCCTCCCCCAGCTCTCCGCACAAGACTAAAACAGGGTAAACTTGCCCCTCGGGAGAGTGATATGGAAATGGACGGCACCGTCCCTTTAAATCCCGCAGCCGAGGAGGTCCCGCCCAGCTCCTAGTGGATTGGTCCCGGCGGGAGGGGCTCGGGTGGTGCGCAGACGCACTGGAAGCACTCCGACCTCGCCTCCTTGCGTCCGGGCTCCTCCCGGCCCTCCTCCTCCTGCTCCTGTTAATCTCTCGGGGGCCGAAGCTGAGTTCTTAAAGGGCCAGAGCGCCTCTCCCCTATCCTGCGCTCTGCGCAGCTGCTCCCAGGCGGGGGAGGGGCGCCCCCCGCCCTCGCCGCGCTCAGGTGCATTGTGGGAGGCCCCCCGCCGGGTTAGGGGAAGGGGGCGAGGGGGCGGAGCGCTGCAGTTTGGTAAAGTTAACTTTCGGTTCGGGCTTTGGAAGTGCGGGGCTGGGGGTCGAGAGGAGGAGGATCCCGGCTCCGCAGCAGGGGACGCGGAGGGGAAGCTGGTCAGCCCCCGGCCTCCTCGTGGATAGAGTCTCGCGCACTTAGTCCCCGGGCGCGGCGTTCTCCGACGTGGCCCCGGCCAGGGTGCGAGGAGCGTCCAGCCGGGACAGGAAAGGCTGGGGTCGGCGGAGGTGGGCTCTCCTCCTGGGGCCCGAGAGCAAAATGCGGGCCCATGTCATTGCGTCCAGCGGGGCTCGAAGGGTTTGCTTGACCCTGTATTTCTTATGCATTGGGCGGCATTTGGCAGATAGGGGAAATTGAGGCCCAGAGAGGGGAAGAGACTTGGTCAAGGTCACTCAGCGAGCCAGGACTAGAAAGGACTAAAGTTTCTTAAAGGAACAGGCCCTAGGAATTGGGAGCATCCTCTCTGGTATGAGGAGGCAGTGGTAAGGAGGGGGAGGGAGTGAACAAGAGGGGAAGGGACACCCTAATTTCTTGATTTCATCTGGACTCTGCAGAAGTGCCCTCCATGGAGCCAGAAGGGGCCGTGGCCAGCCTAGGTCCCGAGGGCCCCGGCCAACTCCAGGAGCCCCACGCTCACCCTGCCTTTGGCTCGCAGCCTGAAGACCCAGCCCAGGACAGCTCCGATGGTTCGGACACAGTGTTGTTGCGCCTGTATCCTTGTACTCCAGACTCGGGAAGTCCCGACCTGGATGGGATCCTCACTACACCTCCCAGTAAGTCCTCCTTTGGAGGGAGCCCTGGTCTGGGAGGAGAAGCATCAGCTTACAAAATCTGGCTCCCCTCACAAACACCCTAGGACATAGATAGTGAATCCGTTACTGGTCCCCATTTTACAGATGAGGAAAGGAAATGAGGTTTAGAGGAGTTCTTGCCCAAAGTCACAGAGTTTAATGCCACCTCCTGCTAATGCCTTCGTCTTTCAGATTGCCTTCATTTACTCCATAGGCATCCAATGTATTCTCTCAAAGGAGATGATGTTTGTAAAGTACTCAGCACAGTGCCTGGCACCTAGTAGGCGTCCGAGTTTAATAATTGTTCCCTTCCCTTTGCCCCTCGTATGTACCTGTTGTCTCCTCCATTAGAGTGGACACTCCTTGAGAATAGGGAGTGTTTTTGCCTTTCTTTGTATCCTGTGCCTGGCACGTAATAAGCACTTAATAAATGCTTGTTGACTGACTGATGGACACAGCTAGCAAAGAGCAGAGCTGACACCCAAACCCAGGTCTTCTGACCTGCCAGTCAGGTGTTCTTTTCCTCAGACTTCAGAAATCTAAATTATCCTTTCTTCTCTCATGGTGGAGAAAGGGAACAGTTCCCTCCTGACTTCTCCTTTTTCCATCCCAGCAGGCAATTCCTTGAAGCACTCTACCACCCTGACCAACCGGCAGAGGGGAAATGAGATTTCAGCCCTGCCTGCCACCCTGGACTGTGAGTAGACCTCCTGGGGACCAAAGGTTGGACAAAGGGAGGGTGTGGAGGGGAAGGCCTTCTGGAAGGAGTTGGACTCACTGCTAGAATTTTCAGCCAGCAGGATCCTTAGAATGTAGACTATAGAATGTCTAAACTGGGGGAACCTTAAAGACCACCTAGTCTAACCTCTGAAATGTAAAAATGAGGAAACTGAGCCCCAGACAGGGGAGGGGATGTATTTAGGGTCACACAGCAAATCAGTGGCAAATCTGAAACCCATTCTCTTGAGTACCAGCCCCAGGGATTTTCTCCTGGCTTTATTATCTCTGAATTTTCAGAAGTTACCTCTTCTCCCACTATGATATAAACACTTCCCTTTCATTGGAGTGCCTGGAATCCTACTATAATCTGTGCCTCTTTCCTTCTCCCCTTTGTAAACAACAGCTCTGTCCATCCACCAGCTTGCCGCTCAGGGAGAACTGACCCAGCTGAAAGAATACCTTCTTAAAGGTATGTAGCTGTTGTCTACTGCCTGACCCTTGTAATCTTGTCCCCAATTGAGCCCCTCCCCCCAACCAGCTCCATCAAGCTTGAGCCACACACGTACATGAGACCCCTAAGACCAGGACCTCAAGGACCTGTGCTCCTCAGAGTCACTCCACTTGGTCAGCCAACCCCAGCCTACTTTATCAGAGACCTGAATGCGGATGGTCGTGGACAGAGTGGGAGCAGAAGAGGGAGGGAAGAAGCTCAGGCCCAGCCCAGCTAGGCATGCTGCAGCTCAGGTAGCTTTGCTCTGTTTTAAGGCCATGAGCCACCACCTCCTCTGCCCTAACCTAGAGAACCTGGAATGCCAGAGCTAGAAGGACCCTTAGAACACAAGCATTTGCCAAGAAGTCAGCTATTTTACCCCCTTCATTTTCCAGATGCTGAAACAGAAGGCTCAGAGAGGCCCTTAGTGAGTTAGTGGGGAAGCCAGGACTAGAATCTAGGTCTTCCAATTTCCAGCATCTCACCCTGGCCTCCAGGTGACCTCCTCATTCCATCTATTCCTTCAGTCATGGAGGGAAGTGTGTCAATGCAGCCCATCTTCACTGTTGAGGCCGAAGCTCAGAGTCCAGGCAGCCACCACTGGCTGGAAGAGCCCTGAAGCAACTTTGTCACCCTTGTTGTGATCCCCATTCAGAGCAGGATTTAGACAATGCCCCCCCAACCCCCCAGCCTCCCTTCTCTATTGATGCCATACCTACTTGCACCCAGGAGAGCTGGGGGAGTCCTGGCTCTTCCTAGCCTAAGGGCTGGCTTGGCTGCAGGCATAGCCAGCTCTTCCCGTCCCACCAGGTGACAACTTGGTGAACAAACCAGATGAGCGTGGCTTCACCCCCCTGATCTGGGCGTCTGCTTTTGGAGAGATTGAGACTGTGCGCTTCCTGCTGGAGTGGGTAAGACGGTAGGGGAGGCTGCTGGGTGCCAACATCTTGGGGATGGTCTTTCTTAGCTAAGGAAAATCAGTTGTTCAAGCACAGGATGGAAAAGATGTAGTTGGGAAACAATTCATTTAATAATAGCCTTTATGTGTGTTAACTCATTGAATTCTTACAACAAACCTATGAGGTAGTTGCTTTTATTATCCCCACTTTATAGATGACAAAACAGGGCAGAGAGTTAACTGTCTTACCTAGGGTCACATAGCTAGTTAGTATCGGAGGCAGGATTTGAACTTGGGTCTTCTTAACCCCCTGGGTCTATTTACTTTGACACGTAGCTGTGGGGATGATCTTACCCAATGACAAGCTTGGTAAAAATCAGATGTGTGACTTGGCTACTAGACAGCTAATGTAATCTTAGGCCATACACATAAATGGAATAGATGTCTCGTATCCAGAGGGAGAGAGGTGATACTCCCACTATTGCCTGCCCTGTTCAGACCTCCTCTGAAATACTGTGTCCAATTCATCGGACCATTTGGAGTCACCCAACCCCCAATCTGATGCTCTTTTTTTTTTTTTAATATATTACATCATGTGGAAATTGAAGTACCTTTAGAAAAAAAACACAGAACTTCAGACCATGTGGAGAATATTAATCCTGCAAAAAAGACTTCTTAGGGGGCAGCTAGGTCGCACAGTGGATAGAGCACCGGCCCTGGATTCAGGAAGACCTGAGATCAAATCCGGCCTCAGACACATAACACTCACCAGCTGTGTGACCTTGGGCAAGTCACTTAACCCCATTGCCTAGCCAAAAAAAAAAAAGACTTCTTAGAAGGGATGTGATTGCTGTCTCTACCAGAAGGGATGTCACGGAGAGGAAGGATGAGCAAGAGCAGAGCTCAGAGCAGTAGATGGAAGTGACTGGGGGACCTCCATATGTGCTAGAACGTCTCAACATTTGGAGCCATCCAACAATTAAATGAGCCACCTTGGGGAGGGTGGAGGTCCCCTTCTGTGGAGAGTGCAGAAGGGCAGGCTGTTCATCCGTCAGGTGGACTGCAGAGAAAGATTTCTTCTTACCTGGAGTTAAATGCCAGGTTCACTGACCGTGGACTTCCTTTTCAGCTCTAAATCCTGTGATCTGAATATGGTCTTCCAGATGGGGTCTGGCCAGGACAGAGGACAGTGGGTGGCTGTCCCCCTTGCTCTGGGCACGCTAGAAATTTATTCATATGGCTGAAGGTTCAGTGATACTATGAAGAGCTGTCTGGTAGCTGGGGAAGTCTGAGCCAGGATTGCCAAACAAGATTCCCTCTCTCTTTCTGCTCCCATGGGGCTGTGCTACAGCCAAACCCCTCCCTATTCCCAGTCCCCAAGGGTTGGGTGGGAGTAAACGGCAGGAGCTCAGAACCTGATGGTATTTTCTGCTAAGCCAATGTCATCTGGGCCATCAAAAGCTTCACTCCTTAGTGGGCATTTAGAGGTAAGTGGAGGCCAGAGTGGGAAGGGCCTTGGATGCCACATTGAGGAGTCTGAACCTTGTCTTAGAGAACGATGTCGGAGCTGAAGGAGACTTAGAGTCTAATTCTGCAACCTGTCCTAGATGGGGAAACAGAGGCCCAGTGTCTTAACCTTACTTTCAGTGGCAGTATCTTTACCAAAGTGGTTCTGACAAAATGGACTCAGTCCAGCAGGAGGCAGTAACCAGGGTTCTTCATCCCTGTCTCTGTGACTCTCCTGTACCCTCAGCCCACCCACCTTCTTGCCCCACAGGGTGCTGATCCTCATGTCCTGGCCAAGGAACGGGAGAGCGCCCTCTCACTGGCCAGCACTGGAGGCTACACAGATATTGTAGTCATGCTTCTGGAGCGGGACGTGGACATCAACAGCTATGACTGGGTAAGGCCCCTCTGTAGCACCCCCCACATTCATTTGTGACTGCAGCCGTTATCAGATGAGCCCCTCTCCTTGGCATGGGGGGAGCAGGTGTCTCCCTCACCTGCAGTGAACTGGACTAGAGGGGATTGGTGTGCTGCCCAGAGGCACCCCAAGAGTCCAGAAAAGGCAAGGCAGTATAGGAGAGTGGTTCTGGAGCAGAGGAGTTCAAATCCTGACTCTGCTGTTACTGACTAGGTAACCTTGGGCCACTTCCTTAACCTCAGTCTCTTTGCCCATCTGACCCTCTTGTTTTATAGATGATCTCACCAATCCCTTCTACTTTTTTTTTTAAAGGCAATTAGGGTTAAGTGACTTGCCCAGGGTCACACAGCTACTAAGTGTCAAGTGTTTCGTCTGAGGCTGGATTTGAACTCAGATCTTCCTGACTTCAGGCTGGTGCTCTATCCACCTAGCTGCCCCTCCCTTCCACTTCTCAATCCTGGGATGCTCAGGAGTCAGGCCCAGGCCCAGGAGGTTGGAGAGGCTTCGGAAGTTGATCTTCAGTAATAGCGGATGTGTCCTTGGTGATTTACAGACTCACTAAGCCTTACTACAGCCCTTCAAAGGGGTTACTCTGGGGATTATTCCCTTAGCACCAGCGAGGCCAGAGCCTGGGCCTCATCCAGAGCCCCACAGCTAATGTGTCAGGCAGGATTCTCCTGACTTTTCCCACTGCCCCACACTGCCTTTCCCCATGGAGCTGGAGCAGTGACACAAACAGGCTTGGCTTGCGTGGGGAAATAGTGAGGCTCCTCTGGCTAAAGGATGGACTCCACATGGTGTTATAGAAAAGCACTAGGTTGGGAGGGAGAAGACCTGGGTTCTAATCCTGCCTCTGCTACTAATTTGGGGGACCTTGGGTAAATCACTGCCGTTCTTGAAACCTCACTTTCTCCATCTGTAAAGTGAAGGGTTAGATTAAATCAGCTTCCTAACCTAGGGTTTGTGAACTTTTTTTTTTAATATCTTGAAAACTGTATCTTTGTCATCCCGTGTATTTTATTTTCATGCACTTAAAAACATTATTCTGAGAAGGGTTCATAGGCTTCACCAGGCTGCCAGTGGGGTCCAGAAGCTCCAGGCCTTAGTGATCTGTTTCAGCAGCAACATTCCAGGGTTTTACTCCTGGAGTCCGATGAGGTATCCAGGAAGCTGAGGGGCTCTGGGAAGGCGCTGTACCTATTGTGATAACTGTATCGGGGCCCCTGGGGCCTGCTTGGCCCTAAGGATATTCAAAGACAGGGTCCCTGCCCTGCCAGCAAGGGAAGCCTGTCCCAAATGATAAGCCATTTTCACCTCTGCCCCTCCCTCCTCCAGAACGGTGGGACTCCGCTGCTCTACGCTGTGAGGGGGAACCACGTGAAGTGTGTGGAAGCTCTACTGGGTAGGTGTGGGCTGCTCCACCCCAAGGGCAGGGAGCGGGACTTGTGGCTTGGATCGGGGAGGGGATGTTTCTCTTAGTCCACACTATAACTCTCACCCTCTTTTATCCTCTTACTGGCTTAAGAGAAGACTTCCTGTCAATTCTCCATTATCTACTGGGCACCCTTCATAGGCAATGAGTTTGCTAGGCTGACAACAGATGTCAGACATGTGGCCCACGACACTCCCAAGTGAGGCCCAAACCAGATTAAAACATAATTGGGAAATATTTAACAAAATTAAAAAAAATACAATAAAACATAAATATCACATTTTAAAACTAAGTATGTGGCCTGCAGGGATCTTTCCGTATGGAATAGCGGTCCCCACTTGTGTTTGACTTTGACTGGCCAACAATAACACTTAGCTGAATTTCTCGATTTGTTGGCATTTAAATAACTCCACTCATTTGGGGGCAGCTTCTCCCAGCCTGTGACAAGCTTATCCCTGCTGAGGAGTCAAGGGCATACCAACAGGGGCTTTGTGGAAGATTTCAGGATCCCAGGGGCAGGCCCATGTTGATCCAAAAAAGCATTTATTAAGTGCTTAGAATGTGCCAGACACCAAGCTGTGCACTGGGGATCGAAAGGTGAAAGTGAGATGGTCCCTGCCTTCAAAGAGCTTCTATTCTAAGGAGCCATGGAAGCCACGTTGGGAGGAGGAGGAGGAGATGACTGCCCTTACCCCAGTCAGCTCCCCCTTTTCTACTTTGGTTTTCAGCCAGAGGGGCAGACCTCACAACAGAAGCAGATTCAGGCTACACCCCAATGGACCTGGCTGTGGCCTTGGGACACAAGAAGGGTACGTACATTTCAGGGGAAGGGACATATGCGATGTGTAAGAGGGAGGCATAGGAAGCACCCCTGGATGAGAAGGCTGTCAGTGCTATCTGGAATCCACCTCACCCCCAAAAAGATTCACTTCAATTCAGCAAGCATTTCTTTATTTAGCACCTACTGTGTGCCAAGCCTTGAGTTGTGTGTTGGGGATACAGAGACATAAACAAAAGTCGCTGCCTTCCAGGAGCTGACATTTTACCAGGTGGAAAATACACAAATAAGTAAAAACAAACTATATACAAAAATTTGTTGAGGGGGGGAGTACCCCCTCTTGATCTGCCCCCCTTGGAGCCTTCAGGGACCAGGAGGACAATAATAATTCTAGTTCTTTTTTAAGTTTTGTAGAGCACTTTCCTCACAACCAGCCTTTGAGGCAGGTACTACTAGTATTATTCCTATTTTGCAGATGAGGAAACTGAGGCTCACAGAGACTTCTGAGATCTGCCCCCAATCAGAGCTAGTAAGAGGCAGTGTATAGTATAGTGCAAGGTGGGGAGCCTGCAGCCTCGAGGCCACACGTGGCCCTCTAGGTCCTCAAGTTTGGCCCTTTGACATAAGTCCACATGACGTAGGTTCACCTAGAGGGCCACATGTGGCCTTGAGACCGCAGGCTCCCCACCCTTGATATAGTGGTTAGAGGCGTGGCCTGGATTTGAATCCTGCCTCAGACATGAACTTGCTGTGTGACCCTGGACAAGTATCGAACTTCTCTGGGTTTTTGTTTCCATATCTAGTTCTAAATTTGTGACTGAGCCCTGGAGCCCCTGGACCCTGCCCCCAAGTAGCCTATTGATAATGCACTATAGGGAGGGTTCCAGTCCCACACTTACTGACTCTGGGGCCCCAATCAAGCACCTTCCCCTTGATTCTGAATCAGCCCCTAATTCTGAGCCTCATCTTTTTCCTCACTTGTGTAAAATGGGGGTCCTGTTACCTGTACTTCATGGCAGCGTTGCCATGAAGAGAGCACTTTCCAAGCCCTTAAAATCCTCAAGAAATTAAAGTTATGGGGGGGGCACCCCTTAAGTACCCCAGGCGTTCTAACCGATGCCGAGGCTCCATCGAGGCCCAGCCCTGTCCCTGCCTTGCCGGGCAGCCTCCCCTTGGAGTGACAGACCTCTTCTCCCATCTGCATCCACTCCCCTGAAAGATCTGTGTGCTCCCCTGTCTTCTTGGTCAATACCAAGCACTTTCCTTACCACCCCATGAGCCATCCTGCTTTATCATCCCCATTATACAAATGAGGAAACTGAGCCCCAGAATGGTGGTGCCCTGCTGGCTTGTGTCAGAGCCAGGACACTAAGTCAGGTGTGCCAGTTCCAAGCCCCTGGCTCTTGGTATTACCCAATATTGCCTCCTTGTGTTGGCAGAGGGGGCCATAGGTCCTGAGTTTTCTTATCTCTTACACCCTTCTTTCTGGACTTCAGTCCAACAGGTGATGGAGAACCATATCCTTAAGCTTTTTCAGAACAAGCTGCTTCCAGAGACAGAGTGAAGGGGGCGTAGGACACTGGGCTTTGGTCCTCTGCCTCCCACCTGCTGCTCAGGGAGGCCAGCTTACTAAGAAGCCAGTTCTTCAATACCCATGACCAGGGAGAACAGGTCCAAGAGGAGGTGTCCCTCTTCCTGTGGCTGAAGGCCACCTACAGAGCTTTGGGGGGGGCCACCCAAGAACTCAGTGCCCAGCGATCATGTCCAGTGTGACACAGGGGGCAGAAGCCGAACTGAAACAAGGCTCCTCTCCTTCCCAGGACCATGGGAGGGACTATGCTACTGGCTGATGACTTGCCCTGGCTGGAGACGTAGCTCCCCAGCCCCCTCCACCCAGCCATACTGGCTCCTCTGCTACCCGCACACCAACCATGCCTCCTCCAGCCCATGAAATGGGAACAATAACCAATAAAAACGAGCTGCTACCCCAACAGCCAGGGCCAACATAGACTGTTCCTCCCCATCTCTTACAGCACCTGCAGGAGGGAGAAAATTCAAAACCACATCCTAGGGAAGACTAAAGAAATAGGGTGATTTTAGCATGGAAAACAGGAGAAACAGCTACTCTACTCAAATCTAAGACACCGTCCTGGAAAGTCTTACTCTCTTTTGTTCTGGGAAATGGAATCAAGGGAGGTGGATTTCCTCCACATATGGAAGAACTTTCTAAGAGTCAGGGCTGTCTAACAATGAAACTGGTGAGGCTGTTTAAACAGGCCAAGTGATCATTAGTTAGGAGTGTGTTTTTTTTTCCTTTTTAAATTGACAAGCATTTATTTTCTCCCAAACTCCTTTGGGGATGGGGGGGATGCCTGTAACAAATGTGCACAGTCAGGCAAAACAAAATCCCACAGTGTCTCGGCCAAAAAAAGCTTTTGCATCCTGAATCTCTCACCTCTTCATCAAGAGGCCAGCAGCATACTCCACCCTCAGATTTCTTAAGTCTTTCGAAGTTGTCTTGACAATGTTGTTTTCTAATCAAGCCTGGCTGCCTGTAAGGATTTAAACCAAACTTCTGAGGCTCTTTCCTTCTGGGATTCTTTTCCCAGGTCCTTGGAGGGAGAAGATAGGCTGGGAGCTGGTTCACCCAGACCAGATCTCTTTCTACTTCCTGGCCACCTAGCCCAGAGCCAGGGGCACCTTCTACTCTGTCCTTCCAGTGGCCCCTCCTAGGGCATCCCGCCTGGTCTAGGAAGCAGGCTGGGCCGAAGAACTGAAGCTGCTCACAGCTTCTGCCCAAGAATCCGCAGGTGGTAGATGATGATCCGGCCAAAAAAGTCAGTGCTGTTTTCAAAAGTTACCTTGAGCTTGTCAAGTGTGACATCTGCCACAGCAAAGCTGTAATTGAAGAGCTGTCAAGGTTAACAGGACAGACCTGGGCCGATCAGTTTCAATGTGCTAAACATCCCCGGCAGGGAGGGTGAGGCTTCCTCAATTCACATATTGATAGACCTGTCTTTTCTCTCTTTTCTCCCCAACTCCCACTGAGGCTTCTCCTGGCACCTCTGAGTCCCTGGGTCTGCCTAACTTAGTAACTTAGCCTCAAGCCCATGAGCCCCACCCTTGCCACAGAACAGAGAGGATATCTGCAGGGAGTTGTTGTCCTGAGGGTAGAAATCCCCAATCTTCTCCAGAGACTCACTCCTCCTGCCACCTGTTGTAAAGAAGGAGGAGAAAGGGCTCAGTCCCACAGGTTCAGCTCTAGGGCCCTACCCATGAGGGCAAAGGCCAGACCACCTTCCTTTCACTCCCCTTCCTCCCCTCCTTGACCCCTCGTCACCTTCCAAGCGGCCCTGGCGACTTGCAAATCCACCCTGGAATTGAATCTGCACCTGAGACACTCGGACAGGCTGTGGGAATTCCAGCATCACCCACTGGGAGGAGCCCTGAGGTGAAAGAGCCAAAGAGAATCAGGTTAGACCCAAGTAAATGACTAGCACCCTACCACAAGATGTGGTGGGGACCCGGATGGCTCAGGCCCCAGTTTGCAGGGGAGAGACACAAACCTACACAAGGTTCCTGAGCTGACCTGTTCTTTAGAGTGTGGGGTCTCAGAACATCCCACAGGAAGGACCTGGGATGAGCTTTAGTTTACTAGTAAAATGGAAGTCACAATGCTGAATGTGAAGAAAGAAAACTGGGCCCTTGTGTTAAAAGAGTGAGGGGGTGGATCAGAGCTGGAAGAAGCCTTGAAGGTCATCAAATCCAATTCCCACATTTTATAGGTGAGGAAACAGAAGGCCAGAAAGACTGTGACTTGTCCAAGGTCACACAGCCAATGAGTGACAGAGCTGGGATTTGATCCCAGGTCCTCTGACTCAAAATCTTGCACTAAAAACAACAGTCGATGGTCTAAGGATTCTTCTACAGATGTCTGATTTCTGGGGACCCTGTAAGTGATCTCTGGCTCCACCCACCGCCATGTCACCTGGTCAGAATTCCAACAGGTCTCGTCCTGCTCATCAAACAGATGCTTCTTTCCAAACTGCTTCACATCCCGGTTAAGCACAGAGCTCACCCTGTGGAGACACCAAGAGGGGTGGGAGGTAGGTGATGGGGGTGGGGCTCGGGCTCGTCCATCGGCTCTGGGTCCTGGAACCCTGAGCTGGCCCAGGGCCCCTGCTCTCAGTCACCTCTCACCTGCTCACAGTCTGGCTGCAGACCAAAGGCACTGGTGTGGCCATAGCCAGGATTCCTGTGTTCACCTGTTCTCAGCTGCACCCCTCTGCTGGGAACGACAAGAACAGAATCAGCCACTAAGCTGAGCTTCAGCTGTTCCACCGTGGGCAAGTCACAATGGCTGCCTCAGTTTCCTCAAACTGTAAAATGGGAATAGCACCTACCTCCCAGGGTTGTTATGAGGATCAAATGAGATATCTGCAAAGCGCTTAGCACAGTGCCTGACACGTAGTAGGTGCTTAGTAAATGTTCCCTTCCCACCCACCCTCTTCTGAGGGGCCCTGGGAACCAGCCCTTGGAGGACACTCTCATAGAAACCAGCGTCTGAGCAAACAACCACCGGCCTGTAAACGAGGAGTCTTTCCGATCCGCATTTAACAGATGGGGAAACCGAGGCCCAGAGAAGGGGGATGACTTGCCACAGAGCCGGGCTTCCTCCCTGCTGCGGCTCTATACACTGTCCGCTGCTTCCAGGCTCCGGGGGTCTTCTTGCTTCCAAGCTCCCAGCACCGGGGCAGAGGCAACTGCGGCGGAAGAGGCCGGAGCAGAGCCCAAGTTTTAAAAGGACTAGGAGGCGGGAGTGTCCGCACTCAGTCACGTGGAGAGGCTCCGCGCTCCCTCCCTCCCCGCAGCCGAGCAGTCAGGAGATTCTGCACGTGAAGAGCCCAGTCTGGGCCAGCTCGGAGGCCAGAGGCGCGTAGGGCGCAGGCGCGAGCGGACGGGGCTGGAGTCTGTTGGGGGGGGGGCCGTGCTGCAGGACCCCGGGAGCAGCGAGGCGGGAAGTGCTTCCTGTTCAGCCTTGGGACGGGGCGGAGAAGAGCGGGTCTCGCCCCTCCCCAGATCTTAAAGGGCGCGGGCCGCTGGAGCGATCCCGTCCCTTCCGCTCCTACTCCACCTTCTCCAGCTGCGGCTGTGAGCGGCCCAGCCCGTGAACCCTCTAGGTCCTTTCCCTAAGGCCTCTAGGGACCACGAACCCCGGGATTGACAAGAATCTCTCTCCCCCCAAAACCCCAGTGGCTCCCTGTTACCTCCAGGGAGGTGTCAAATGCACGGCCGCCCCTCTGGCTTTTAAAGCTCTTCACAGCCTGGCCCTTTCCTGTCTTGTGCTTACTCTGCTCCACGTCCTCGACTGTCCCTGTGACGTTCTCCGGGCTGCTCCTTGCACACGACCCTCCATCTCCCGACCCCCGAATTTCTCACTTCAAGCCTGGAATCCCTTCCCCCATTCTCTCCTCCTGCATTCCTTCAAGTCTCAGCTAAAATCACATCTTCTACCAAAATAACAAGTCTTTCCCAGTATTCCTTAATCTTAGTACCTTCCCGCTGAGATCATCCCCAGTTTATCCCATCTACAGCTTGTTTGGATGTAGTTGTTAGCTTGTTTCCCCCGTGAGAGTGGAGCTTCTTGAGAGCAGGGACTGTCTTTTGTCTCTCTTTGTATTCCCAGCGCTTAGCAGAGTGCCTGGCTTGTAGTAGGTGCTTAATAAATGCTAGCTGACTGACCCATTCATGCTGTGCTCTATAGTGGCCCCCACCCACCCAAAACAAATGTTTATGAAAGTTTTGTGTATAAGATTTACAAGCAGTCCCCACGTAGAGGTCTTCCAGGGGGACCTAGAGAGAGTATAGAGAGTTAGAGGAGAAGGCTTCCGTGCTCTTATACTTTGGGAGCCTGACCCAGATTGCTTTCTGCAGTGCTCTGACATGGACTTGTCCTGCCTCCGCTGAAAATCATCAGTAATGGGGAAATCAGTACTGACTGAGCTGGCCCATTCCACTTAGGGACAGTTTTCATTGTTGGAAATTTTTTTATACATGGAACCCAAAATTTCCTGAGCAAATTCCCACCCATTTTCTCCTAGTTCTGCCTCTGAAGCCAAGCGGCAAGTCTAATTCCTCTTCCAATTGAGTCTTTGACGATTCTTATGTGCCCCTCACCCCCCATCCTGAGCCTTCTCTTCAGACTAAACATCCCCAGATCCATCAACAAAGTCCTCCTGGGACATGGTCTCCAGGTTTTCCATCTTCTGAATGTCCTCCTGAAGACATGCTCTAGCTTGCCAGTGTCCTTCCTTAAAAAGGTGGTGTCTAGATTAGCATAGAGACTCAGGAAGTTCAAATCCAGCCTCAGACACTTACTAGCTGTGTGACCCTGGGCAAATACCTTGACCTCCCTCAGCCCCAGTTTTCTCATCTGTGAAATAATAATAGCACCTACCTCCCAGGGTTGTTGTGGGGACAAAATGAAATAACATGCATAGAACACTTTGTAAAACTTAGAGAACTATGTAAATGCTGCCCCAAAACACTAGAGTGCTAAACACGTGATCTGATCAAGGCAGAGAAAGAACTATTATTTCCCTTGTTTTGTACACTATGCCTCATAATGCTACTCAAAGTCCCTTTAGCTTGTTTTGGCTAACACTTATCAATATGGGTTAACACTGCCTGACAAGGGTTCCAAGGCCTTAGGGAACATTTCATTTTTAGTCTGGAACCCAGCAAAGCTAAGAACATGAGGTAATCTGTTTATCTTTGCTCCTTATTACCTGTATAATCTCATAGAAGTCCTTTCCCCTCTCTGGGACCTTGGTTTCCTCATCTGAAAGATAATGGGTGCTTGTGGGCTTAACTAGTTTTCTCTATAGTCCCTTCTGGCTCTAAATTCTATGATTGCAATTTAGATCTCTTTGGAAATCTGTCCAAAATGTTTGCTGTCCCTCCCCACTTTGTGTCATCTGCAGAATTGGTAACTATATCATCTATCCCTTTATCCAAGTCACTGAAAAAAGGAGGAAAAAACCCCCCCAACATATTGAAGAGCAGAAGGCCAGGCACAGATCCCTAGAGTATTCCACTGGAGACTATCCTATAAACTGACATCAGCCCATTAGTTACTCTTTGGGTTTGGCCATTCAACCAGGACCTAGTCTATCAAAATGTTGTATCATCTAGCTGCATGTTATTTCATCTGGAAAGTACAGCATAAAAGACACCTGAGAGAAGCTGACCAGTGGAAGTAAATGGAGAACACAGAAATAAAACCTTGTATTCCTCCATACTTGATTCTCCAATCCAGTCTCTAAACCTCTTCTGTCCTCAAGCTTCCCACACTCCCACAGCTGAGGACCACGATTCATACTTTACTGAGAAAACAAAGACTCACTATTTGACAAACACTGCTGGGAAAACTGGAAAGTAGTCTGGCAAAAATTAGGCATAGACATAAAGGGTGATATTATAAGTGAATTAGGGGAGCTTGGAAGAAACTGCCTGTCAGAAGAGTTCATGACCAAGAGACAGAGAGGTTCACAGGAGGTAAAATAGATCATTTTGATTATAAAATTTAAAAGGTTTTGCACAAACAAAACTAATGCAGCTGAAATTAGAATAAAAATTAAAAACTACGGGAAATTTTTGCAGTGTTATACTGATAAAAGTCTCATTTCTCAAGTATGTAGAGAACTGAGTCATGTTTATGAAAATAGAAGCCATTCTCCATGATAACTGGTCAAAGGATATGAACATGCAGTTTTCAGAAGAAATCAAAGCTATCAATAGCCATGTTTTAAAAATGCTCTAAATCACTAATAATTAGAGGAATGCAAATTAAAACAACTCTGAGGTACTACCTTATACTCAGATAAGCTAAGAGGACAGAATAGGAAAATGACAAATGCTGGAGGGAATGTAGGAAAATAGATTCACTAATGCATTGCTGATGTAATGGTGAACTAGTCCAACCATTCTGGAGAACAATATGTCCAAAGGGCTATAAACTCTGCATATCTTTTAACCCAGCAACACCATGACTAGGTATTTACCTCAAGGAGATCAAATAAAAAGGGAAAAAGACTCATATGAACAATAGCAACCCTTTTAGTGTCGCCAAAGAATTGGAATCTGAGGGGATGCCCATCAATTGAGAAATGGCTGACCAAGTCATGGTATATGAATGTGATAGAATACTATTGTGTTGTAAGAAATGATGAAGGGAACAGTTTCAGAAAAGACCTGGGAAGACCTATATGAACTGATGCAAAGTAAAGTGAGCAGAACCTGTAAAATCACCTACATAGTCTTAGCAATAGTGCAAAGATGATCAACTGTGAAAGACTCCGTAACTCTCATCATTACAATGAGTCACTACAACTCCAAAGGACTCATGATTTGAAATGTTATCCACCTCCAGATGGAGAATTGATGGACTCAGAGCGCAGACTGAAGCATATTTTTTCCTCTATTTTTCTTGCTTTTTTTTCCCACTATATGGCTAATGTAGAAATATGTTTTGTGTGACTGTATGTGTATAATGGGCATCATATTTCTTGCCTTCTCAATGGGTAGAGGAGGAGGTAGAGAGGGCAAAAATGTAGAACTGATAATGAAAAGAAAATTTAAAAAAAAAGAAAGTAGAAGTCATTCACCTTGAGGTCCCTTTTCTTCCCTTCATCTCTCAGTCCTATGACATTATCCCTTATTCTCTCCTCTTTATTCCAGTATCTGATAAGAAAGGTAACCCTCCTCCTTACCAAGATAAACCCCACTTTGTGTGCCCTCCATCAAATTTCCCGTTCTCTCCAACAGATTGTACACACACACACACACACACACACACACACACACACACAATCATACTTCCTCTCTCTTAAATTTTCAATTCTCCATCTCTACTGGATCTTTCCCTGCTGTCTACAAATGTGCCCAAGTCTCTCCCATCCTTAAAAAAACCCTTCCATCTCCTTATAACTCTCATCTAACTAACATCAGTCTAACATAACTAACAGCAGTCTTGTAACTCTCCTCTCTTTCTCAACCAAAATCTTTGAAAAAACTATCTACACTCGTTGCCTCAATCTTCCCTTCTCATACTCATTTCTCAACCTTTTGCAATCTGGCTTCCAATCTGATCACTCAACTGAAAGAAACTGCTCTCTCCAAATTTCCCACCAGTCAACAAGCATTTATTAAGCATCTATTATGTTCCAAGCACTGAACAAAGCACTGGGGATATGAAGAAATGCAGAAACAGGCCTTGCCTTCAAGGAAGACACACAAGGCTGATCTTCCAGAAACATTCTATTCTGTGGTCCCCTCAGCAATTCAGATGAAATACTTCTCTGGTGGGCATATGTAAATAACTGGGTATATACAAGATATATACAGAGCAATTGGTTGGTAATCTCAGAAGGGGAAGCATTAGCAGTTGGAGGGACTGGGAAATGCCTTTTACAGAATATGTGGTTTGAGCTGAATCTTAAAAAAAGCAAGGAAAACAGAGGCAGTGGTGGGAAAGGAAAGTTCCTCGCCATGGAGGAACAGCCAGAAAAAGGCAGGGAGATAGGAAATGGAGTGTCATCTTCGAGAAAATGCAAGTAGGCGGGAGCAGCTGGATCATAGAGTGTATAGAGGAGAGTAAAGTACAAGAAAAGAGGTAGAAAGGGGCCTGGTTGTAAAGAGCTTAAAATGCCAAAAGAAGATTTTATATTGAATCCTGGAGGTAATATTAGGAGCTGATGAAGTTTGTAGGATGGAGTGTGTGACATGATAAGATTTATGTTTTAGGAAAATCATTTTGCTAGCTGCATGAAGGATAAATTGGAGTGAGGAGAGACTTGAGGTAATGACCAATCAGAAGCCTATTTATTGTAAGACTCCAGGCAAACGATGAGGCCTTGAACTATGTGTAGTGACTAGGGAGTATAGGGCTGGTTACATAGTTTGCAGCTATGCATGGGTGGAGTGAGTTTCTATCTCCAACCTTTGTGACCCTATTTGGAGTTTTTTTTAGCAAAGACGCTGGAGGGGTTTGCCATTTTCTTCTCCAGCTCATTTTACAGATGAGGAGACTGAGGCAAACAGGGTTAAATGACTTGCCCAAAGTCACACAGCTAGTGAGTATCTGAGGCCAGATTTGAACCCAGGAAGATGAGTCTTCCTAATTCTAGGCCCAGCACTCTATCCACTGGGCTACCTATACTGCTGAAATCACAGGTCCAGACCAAAACTGATGAAATCTGAGATCTCTTCCATCTCACACATTCTATAAAGGAACAAAGGATACTCCCACTTGATCTGATATTTTCTCTCTAAGGCAATAAGCCAGTCTCTCGAAGATCTTCCTGTGACCTTGTGAGCATGTGTTCTGGGAGACCCTGTAAATCGTTAGAATTCCTGTCCCCCTACAGCATGCCCTCCCCTGCTCGCCCCCTATCCCCGCACCGGTGCCTCTCAGATGAATTCCTAAGGAACCAGGGAGACTGGGTCCCTACAACCCCGCCCCTAGCCCAAGCTCCCCCGAGTTGGCGGAACCCTGGTCCCCAGAAGAAGTTGTCTTCAGTTCAACCCGACAAAGCCCGGGATGGGCCCACTCTCCGGCCACCAGGGGGCAAGGGCAGACCACTATGCGCGCTGACTCTGCTGCTGCTACAAGACCCGATCTCCAAGCGCTGGTTCAGCCAAAGCTCGATCCTTCTCGAAGCCCAGGGGAACCCAGAGCAGCCCTGTTTTGTCCAGCCAGCCCTAGCAGTTCCAGGGGAGAGGGAGTCAGAGGAAGAGGAGTTTCACGACCCTCTCCCGGACAGTTCCCACTTAAGCTCGCGTCCCTTTTGCCCCGCGCCTTGCGCCACACGGGCTCCCTGCCTCTTTACCCGGTCTCATCTTTCTCCTACTTCCAGCACCCAGGGGCAGCTGGCAGGAAGACGGGAGCTCAGAGCTCGCCAGGGTGGAGAGGAAGGGGCGTCTCTGGCTGGGGACTCTGGCGCCAGCGCCTGATTAATATACTGTGAGACGGAAACCTCCTTTCCTGGGGAAGAAAGGATGGGGATGCCATGGGGATGCGAGGTCTAAGGGAAAGGTCAGACCACTGTTAGCTGGGGAAGGTCAGATCCCTGGGGGATTGAGAGATGAATGATTCCCACCATTCCCTCAGCTCAAGGCCACTTCCTTCAGGAGGCTCTTCTGGATTTCCTCCCATCCCCAAGCTGTTCTTCCTCCTTCAATTTGCCCGATAATAATTTTGTGTTTCTTTTATTTGTAAATATTGTATTTCCTGATAGACTGTAAACTCCTCGAGGGCAAGAACTGCTTCTCTTCTGTCTTTCCATTGCCAAGCACAATACCTGGCACACAGTAGGTGCTTAATAAATGCCCATTGAATGATTGGTTTTTCTGTATGC